TGAAATTGTTTCGTTATGTTCGATCTTAGATATTTTTAGAGTGGGATTTCTTGTATCTTAGATGTAGAAATTCTAGTTCAGTCTTTTGGATCTCAGTGACAGCACTGTCACAAGTTTGTTTTATCTTTGTCTGTGTTGGTGCTGCAATGAGTAGATCATCTATATAGTATAGAATCATGGATTGTGGATGCTTCTGTCAAGTTGTACACAGTACTTGTGGGACAAAATATTGTTAAATTGTTAGAGAATTCTTCATCCCTTGTGGTAAAGATTTCGAGTGATATCTTTGCATTGGCTTTCTTTGATTGATGACTGGAACTGAGAAGGCAAATCTTGGGGCATCTTCATGATGAAGTGGTACGTTGAAGAAATAGTCTTTTATATCGATGATGACAAGAGGCCAGTTTCTAGGAATTATTGATAGAGAGGGACGTACAGCAGCTGTCTTCCTTTCAGGACTTGTAATAGTAATCATGGATTTACTTTGTAAACAAACAGTAGTTTTTCTGATCCTTGTGAGTGTTCTCATAGGTGATATTAAGTGTTAGTTATGGGCTAAAACAGGAGAGAAATTACAGAGACATCTGCACCGTATCTGGTATGCCTGTAACATAAATTGTTCTACCACGATGAGTTAGGCCACAAGTCAGTTCTGGTTGCTTTAGAACATACTTCTTAGTATGTTCTACTTAGAAGACATCTAGCATTGGAGTAGAAATCACATCTGGAACACCTTGGTACACCGTTTGATTGGTTAACAAAGCATTTTGTTGAGATACATTTTGTTTGATTATGTCTATAGGTAAAGCAATTGTAAAAGCAAGAGGTGCCTTAGGTTGAATTACTGTTGGGGCTTTAAGGGCAAGAGCTAAAACTATTAGGTAAAGGCTAAAGCAGGGATTTTTCTTGCACAGCAGAAGGCTGTGACCTAGGCAAGTGATCTAGGCAAGTCCTGCGTTCAAGTGGCCAAACCAAAGAGAATTTTTAGCTTCCTAAATTCCCCTTAGACTCCTGACTTCCAACCAGTCATCAGATCAAAAAATCTTCACAGAAATATACTCTTTGAGTTTTGTCTTTTTTGTTAAGGATTTTTTTTTTTTTAGGGGGGTGGGTTTTGGCCTTTTTTTTTTTTTTTTTCCTTTTTGCTTGTTAATTTTTTATGGGGTTGTTTTTTTGGGTTTTTTTTTTTTTTGTGGGGTTTTTTGGTTTTGTTTGTTTGGTTGTGGGTTTTTTTTTTGGTGGAATTGGTATATCTCCATCCTGAAGGAGCCCTTCTGCCCCACATGTCTTATTGATGTCATTTTTATGACATTTATATGTTACCACTACTACATTAGGTTACAGGATAAATAGAGAGCAGGAGGTGTTTTCCGTGTGCCCCCAAAGAAAAGAAACAGATACTTTTATAACAATCTGTATTTCATATCCTAGTTTTATGCTTCTAAAGTTGTGTCCAAGAGACACATCGAAGTGGAGTGATCAGATAAAGCTGTACTGCAGGCATTTCTCAGGAGACAGCCTCCAGGCCATCCATGGTATATTCCTCAGATCCATGGCACTTTTTCGTACCTTCCCCACTCTTTCCCATGACTCTTAGAATCCTACCCATCAGCCCGAGCCCTGCTCAGATCCGTCTCTAGGAAAACACATCAAGTCCTCTGGGATTCTGCAGCACAGCCCAATGAATCTGCTTCTTGCCCATAACAGCTGCCAGTGCTGAGCTCTCAGATAAGACCTGGTGGGGCTGAGAGCAGAGCCCAGTGGATTCTGTGTCTACCATCACCTGTTGGGACAAAAAGGGCATTGATCTGCACCTCGGTGTGTCTGATCTCAAAGCCCATCCTGTTGTGTCCTGAATGGGGGCAACAGTTTGTAAGGGGCTCAGGCTGCCTGTGGCTTCTTCCCCTTGCTTGTCAGTGCTCATGCTTGGGCTTTGCCAGCCTGCTTGTGGTAGCTGCCCTGTCCCTGAGGGCTGGTGGGACTGCAGAGGCTGGAGCCTTCCTTAGCCCCAAGAGGGGTGTCTGTGAGCTCAGCCTGCTCATAAAGGGTGAGGGTCCCGATGCTGAAAGCCCCATCGGGGTTGGTTATAGCATGAGCTGCTCTGGTTTACAATTGGAAAGGCATTGTTTTGGCAATCTTTTGGCTGAAAGCTGGAGAAGTTGTGCTCCACTCCTGGGAATGCATCTCCCTGTGCTTTGTTTCCTGTCAAGAGAGCTCTTCCAAGGACTCTACAAAAGCAGTCTCTGTGCCAGCCATCTGCACTGCAGGGCTGCCTGTCTTGTTGCTGTTGTTGTTGCTGTTGTTGCTAACCAGCTGACCACCCCCAGACACTGGGGCTGCCTTTTGTATCTCCTGGAAGCTGGGATCTCTGCTTTAAAGTGACCATCTTGCATTTTGTTTCCCTCAGGGAAAATGGTGAACACGGAAGATCCCAAGATGAAATACACTGAAATGGAATATATTGGCAAGGGGTGAGTCCAGCCACACATGCATCTACACAACCATGGGCCAGGTGTTCTTCTGGTATATCATTGGTATATCAGGTGTTCCACTGGAATATCTATCCAGTGTGAAGTCAGGTCAGCTGCAAACATGTTCAGACACTGGAGACAGATTGTCCCATCTCTTCAGTGCTGCTCAGAACTTGTGAGTGTGCTCAGAAGGCATTGTCAGAGACATCTCCATGCTGCTGAGGTCTTGCCTACATCAAGGAACCGGACCTGGAAGATCTCCTTGTCTCTCAAGTGTGGGACAGCTCTGTGTTAATTTCTTCAGTATTTTTGTATGTCTCAAAATCACACGGCTACACCAATGAACAAAGAAGAATCTTGCTTGCCTGAAAGGGCAACCTAGCCCCTATCAAAGCTGTGAGATAACAGTTCCCAGGAACATTTCTTTCCCATGATTTGTGGAAGGAAATACTTCATGGTCAGGATAGGAACCACACAGTTTAGAAACTGAAACCCAAGATGAAAGAATCAATTCCCTTTAGGAGCTGAGGCAGTAAACCCCAATGCTTCTGCAACCGGCCCAGACACTGCCCATGCACTTGAGAGGAAAATACATCATCTGCCTTCTGGCAGAGCCCCCCTGCATCCTGCAGGTTTTAGGCATTTACAGCAGAGATCTCCTGTGTGGGCTGGCTTTCACTCTAAGAAATAAACAGCTTCTCCCTTCTCTGCTTCTGTTTTGTTTCTAGGCATTTTGGATCTGTGGTTAGAGCACTCAACAAAGCCACAGGAGGAGAGGTAAATGCCAACATCCCCTGCAGACTTTGCTGCACTCAAAGGCTTTCCCATCTGGTGTGAGCAGCTTTGGGTAGAGCTGTGCTGAAGAGGCAAAAGAAACACAGACTGGTACCAGACTGCAAAATACATTGGGGACAGTCTTTGTCCTTCTCAGCTGCCAGAAGGAAGGCACGCAGGGCAGCAGTTCCTTTCAGAGAAGGATGTGCTCACTCGCTCTCAATTGCTAAAACAAAGGTGGTGCCTTAGAGCATCTCACTGCTCTTTGGGGCTACAGCTTCAGAGTCCTGAATTCTCACTTCTGGTTGCCAGCAAATACATCTGAGAGTTACCGGTAGTTCCTCAGCCACCTGCAGTGCTGCACTTGGGAACTGCACATAGGGAGAGATCTGCAAGGGGTCCCTAGAAGCCCTAAGCCCTGCCCATAGCCCAGGATGTAGCCACAGAGTATTAAGGCATGGATTACTTCTTCTGAATCCCATACAAAGCAGCAGGGAGTGGGCTCAGAGGTTTGTGGGTGATAGCTGAGACACCACTGTTACCAAGTGGACACGGCAAAACCTCAGTGGCCCCGTGTCCTGTAACTGGCCTCCAAGGGCGTGGAGCAATGGGCTGTTGCAATGTCAGTTCCTAATTACTGCCATGCCTAATCACAAGGCAGTTTGGCACAGCTCAGCTGTGTCATTGCAAAATCACTCGCTCCATGTGCCTTGTGGTCTCGTGCCACCAACTTCTCAAGTTACTGATTTTCAGTGTCATTTTAGGTGGCCATAAAGAAAATAAGACTTAAGGGATGGCAGAGGAAGCAACTAACCGTTAATGAAATCACAATCATGAAGAAGCATAGGAGTCCCAGTGTTGTTAATTATTTAGACAGGTGAGTGGTCATGGTCTTATCCCGTGAATATGCATGTACATACCGCAAACATGAAAGGTTAAAAATCCACTTTGGTCACTTCTAGAAAGTAGAGCTGTTAATCAATATTTTGTTAATAACAAAAAGCTGTGTGACGTCAGAGATGTCAGTGTGACGTCACAGAGATGTCTCCGTGACATCACAGAGATGGCAGTGTGACATCACAGACTTGTCTGTGTGACATCACAGGAGGTTGTGTGACATCACAGAGATGGCAGTGTGACATCACAGACATGTCTGTGTGACATTCACAGGAGGTTGTGTGACGTCACAGAGATGTCAGTGTGACATGACAGAGATCTGTGTAACATCACAGGGGCTGTGTGACATCACAGGTCCTGTGTGACATTACAGATACTGTGTGACATCACAGAGAGCTGTGTGACATCACAGAGGTCTCAGTGTGACATCACAGAGATGTCTGTGTGACATCACAAAGATGTCTGTGTGATGTCACAAAAAGCTGTGTGACATCACCGAGACGGCTGTGTGACATTAGAGAGATGTCCGTGTGACGTCACAGAGAGCTGTGTGACATCACATAGATGTCAATCAGACATCACAAATATGTCTCTGTGACATCACAATAAGCTGTGTGACCTCACAGGGTCAGTGTGACAACTCACAGATAGTGGTGTGACATCTCAGAGATGTCTGTGTGACATCACAGGAGGTTTTGTGACGTCACAGAGAGCTGTGTGACATCACAGATATATCTGTGTGACATCACAGAGAGCTGTGTGACATCACAGAGATGTCTGTGTGACGTCACAAGAAGCTGTGTGACCTCACAGGGTCAGTGTGACATCACAGAGATGTCCATGTGACATCACAGAGAGCTGTGTTACATCACAGAGATGTCCGTGTGACATCACAGAGGGCTGTATGATCTTGCACCTTCTGGAAGATGGAGTGTTGCCCACTCTGTATTGCCCGGAGCACATGCAATGTTTGAAGTGCCAGCTCTGACATGGCACTACTGACATCCTCTGTCAGGCATTCAAGGGCTGCAAGAGAGAGGAACAGAGCCACGGTCAGATCCCGACTCTGCGGGGAGCCGAGGGGAGCCCCCCCTGCCAGGGCCATCCCAGCCGGCTCTTGCCATGGCCAGGAGGGATCAGGGACCAAGGGGATCAGCCCGAAGCTGCTGGCCACGCATCCCCCACGTGTCCCTGAAATCTCTGTGTGCTCTACCTAGGAGAGCAGAGCTCTCCGCAGCCGGGGCAGGGCTTGCAGCTCGCCCCGGCAGCCCCCGCTGGCAGCCCGCTGCCCTGTCTCACCATTGAGGATCATCTGGAGCTTTTCCTGCTATCCCCTCAAGCTCCTCCCGGCCATCCCTGGGAACACAGAGCCTGTCAGGCCCAGCGGCACAGCTCCCTGCCAGCGGCGCTGCCAGCCCTGTGCCCACACGCCCTCCTGGCCCGGCTCGTGGCTCACCCATGAACCTGACGGCGCCTCTCGCAGGGGCTCCTGTGGGCTCTGCAGGTAGGGCAGGGCCCGGCGCAGGTGCTCGGCCACGCTGCTGCTGTCCTCTGCCAGCTGGAGAGAGCGGCAGGAGGGTGCAGTTGGTGCAGGCTCAGCCCCTTGGCTGCAGCCCTGGGCAGGGGAGCAGCTGCCAGCCGCACGCCCTGAGCAGCGCGGTCAGGGGCTTCTCCAGCCTGAGCCTAGGGCTCACAGGCCGGTCTTACCAGGCCCCCGCTGAACCCCCAGGTTTGATCCACCTGCAGCATCTGTTGGAGATCCTTCCTGTTCAGGAATCTGGCTGAACAAAGCAGCGTTTCCTGAGAAGCCTGGAGAGCAGCAGAGACGCGGAGATGGCCCCACAGCCCAGGGCGCAGGACCCGTCCCTGTGCCAGGGCCTGGAGGAGGCTGCAGCCTGCGAGGTGCCAGGGCAGGAGACAGCCCAGCCCCTGCCAGAGGAACAGCAGCAGCTGCCGAGTCCTCACCTCTGCCACTCGCTGGTTCTCATCATGGCAGTGGAAGGAGAGTGGCAGCAGGCTCTGGCGCACGTGTGCCTTCAGAGACTCTTTTTCCTGTGGAAAAGTCATCAATGTTCAGAAGAGCAGTATGGAGCTCAGCTGCACTTGGCTATTGTCCTGTATGAAGGGAAGAAAAAAAGACCTCAGCATCGGCTGCACGGAGCTCAGCTCGGTGCAGGCCTGCAAATCCACAGGGCACAAAGTGTCTGGGCAGCAGCCAGTGGCCGTGGCTGGGGGCAGTGAGCCTTACGTGGTCAAGGAGTGGCAGGAGCGCCTCAACCAGCTGCAGTGTGATGGGGCTGGCTATCAGCATGTCCTTGTCCAAGAAGATACAGCTGAGGAGCAGGACTGTCATGCTAACTATCTCTCCATCCACATCCCACAGGAGCTCCACAAGACTTTCAGTCAGGCTCCACATTTTTTCTCTCTGTGAGGAACACAAGTTTGTGAAATGCCATCCTGCTGCTGCAGGGCCTAGAGGCCAAAGGGCTGTTCCAAAGCACTTGGGCAGCTGGAGCGGGAGGCAGGAGAGCTGGGAGCAGCTGGCCCAGCGCCCAAAGCCCAGCCAAGCCCAAGCGACTGCATTCCTGAGCGCAGCCTCTGCCCCTGCCCCTTCTCACCATCGAGGGATCCTTGATGAGCTCGAGAAGGGCCCTGAGCGCCAGGTGACGCCTCTCCTTGCACTCGCTCCTCAGGTGCCTTGACAAGATTTGCAGGACTCTGTCAGCACCGCGTTCACTCAATTCCAGGCACTCGAGGACCTGAAAGGCACAGGGCAGTGACGGGGGACCGGCCAGCAGGAGCCCAGAACCGCACAGGGCCGGGCCCAGGCAGCAGCACAGGGCGCGGGCACCGTCCCAGGCACTGCAGCCAAGAGAGGGCAGAGAGCCGGGAGGCAGCTGAGCGAGGCAGCGCTGGCCTTCAGGCTCACCTCCACAAGGCACGCCAGGGAGGGCAGCTCCCAGCGTGGCTCCTGTGTGCTGAGCAGCCGGAGCAGGTAGCGAGCGATCCGAGAGCACAAGGGGATGGAGACACAGGACATCTCCCTGGCAGGAGACAAAGTAACCAAGGCTGTGGGCCAGGGGGACAAACCTCTCCCAGGACTGATTCACAGAGGTCTGGTCTTTCCCCAGCATCCTGCAAGGGCCCCTGGGCTATTTGGGAGGTGGCTCCTTGTGGGCACCCTCCTCTCCCAGCCTTTTTCAGTCTTTTTGGCTGTCCCTCGGTGACAAGGCCCTCTGGCCCATGACCACAGGGACTGTGTGGGGCACCCCAGGCACAGAGCACAAATGTCAGAGGCAGCAGTGTGAAGGGGGTCTCACCTGGCCAGCAGACCCACGGCATAGTGGTGGGTGTCAGCACACAGCAGCGTGTCCCAGCCACACTTGCATTCCATTGCCACCACCACATCCTCGTGCTGCATTTGGCAGAGCAGGGACTTCAGGGTCCGCACTGCAAACCTGTGTGCAGAGCAAAGCCCAGGTCACACTGGGAGCACTGGCCCCTGCCCAGGGATTTGGCAAGGACAGGAGGACTGGCATGGAGCACCTGCTGGGGTTGGAGGCAAGGCCGTGTTGCTGCTGGAATCCCTTCCAGAAGGTATCGACCTCCTCTGGCATATCCAGAGTGCTGAAGAACACTTGGAAGAGCAGATGGACAAACAGGCGGGGGAAATACACGGTCACCATCTGTGGGACACAGGGCACCTGGAGGATCTTTCACATCACCACAGTTGCCTACAAAGGACAGAGCAGCCCGAGACAGCGCTCAGTGCTGAGGTGTCCGTGTGGCAGGTCCCAAGCACGGGAGGGAGAGGCCCGGAGAGACGCAGGGGGAGCACCGGGTCTGGTGGCCCTGAAGCTGTCCCGAGGCCAGGTTTCAGCCCAGCGCCTGAGGCAGGGAGATGCCGTGGGGGAGGGAGGATGGAGAGCTGCTGGAGGGGTGGCCTTGGGGCCAGCAAAGGCAGAAACTCACAGCCAGGGCAAGGACAGCCGTGTGGTCCCCATCGGAGGTGCACGTGCTGTGCTCTGGCCAGCTCCCCAGCACATCGAGGAGTACGAGCATGGTCGGCTCTGCAGTCCTGGGTGAGCACATGATGCTCTTCCACATGGCCAAAGCAGCTCTGTGGGGTCAGAGCTCTGTCTCAGAGGAGTCTGGGACACAGCAGCGTGGCCTGGGTGGCAGCGGGGAGCTGAGCTGCTCTGCCAGCCCTGCCTCTGCCCACTGCCCCTCACTGGCAGCACGCAGGCAGCCCAGCCCTGTGGGGACTGGCCCCTGAGGGGCAGGGGGGAAGCATGGCAGCACGCTGGGGGGCTGGCAGGGGCCAGGGCTGGCAAAGGGAGCAGCCAGAGGGCCCTGGAATTCTCTGTTGGTCAGACACCTGGGACAGGCTGTACAGGGTGAAGGGCTGCTGAGCCTTGTGGACACGTGGGCCCCGTACCTGTCACACACTGGGGCCACACGCAGGAGAGCCATCACCACGTCACAGGGCTGTGCCTCTGTCAGATCCAGGAGGGGCCTGTACAGATTGTACTCAGGAAACTCATTGGCCACGAGGATGTACAGCAGGCGTGGCTTCGGAGGCCAAGTAATTGCTGGGAGGATCAAACCCTGGCCACAGGCTGCTCACTTGCTTTGGGCTGGAAGGACCCTCCTGCACAAGCATATCCAGCAGGGCAGCCCTGGTCTTGGTTTTGAAGATGGGAGAGGACGCTCTGACCACAGTGCCCGTGACGCTGCTCTCTTCCTCCCGAATCCACTTCATGAATTTGCAAACCATCTGTAGCAGAAGGGCAAGAAGCCCGGGATGTTGCATGGAGTGCTCCGAGCACAGTGCTGGGCTGAGCAGTGCCAGCAGGCCCAGCCCAGGTGGGGATGGCTGCAGGTACCTGCGCTGTTCTGCGGAAGCGGCCACGGGTGCGTTCCTGCTCTCGTGTGCGCTGCACGGCTGCACCTGGCAAAGAGCGAGCGCAGCCCGAGCTGAGGGGCTGCGGGAGAGGCCGGAGAACACAGCCCAGCCCTGCGCTGCCCAGGCAGGGACAGCCCCGCGCCGCCCCAGGGCATGGAGCACGGCTGTGGGGTGTCTGCCCGGCCCCTATTCCATCCTGTCCATGGGCATGGCCCCAGGGGATGGGATGGGATGGGATGGGATGGGATGGGATGGGATGGGATGGGATGGGATGGGATGGGATGGGATGGGATGGGATGGGATGGGATGGGATGGGATGGGATGGGATGGGATGGGATGGGATGGGATGGGATGGGATGGGATGGGATGGGATGGGATGGGATGGGATGGGATGGGGCCAAGCTGGCTGCAGGCACCAGCCCTGTGGCCCAGCTCTGCCACTCACCCCTCTGTGGTGGCTGGAACTGCTCCACCTCTTCAGGCTGCTGTGCTGGGGCAGCTCCAGGGCCTTTTCTCTCCTCCTTCCCCCAGGCCAGCTCTGGCACGCTCGCAGGTCTGTGCTCTACGTCACTGCCTGGATTCATGGCTACTTGCAGCAGGTGAAAAGGAAAAGGTCCGAGTCAGCAAGTGCTGCAGTTGTGCCTTGAGGACACCTGCAAGAGTGAAGTCTGGGCAAGGCTACAGGACAGCAAGTCCTGCACTCTGGTCTTGGGGTTCCAGCCACAAGGACAGGAGACTCCTGTCAAGGACGGTGCAAAGCAAATGCCACGGTCTGCCCTCGAGGGCAGCTGCAGAAGAGATGCCTCGGGAAGGCCAGGGGTCACCAAGTGCTCTGGTCTGGCCACGAGGTCCCCTGGAGGAGTAATACCTCGGGAAAGCTCCGGGTCAGCAAGGAACGAGTGGCTGTGCAAGGGCTCCTCACAGCACCGCTCTCTCCGTCCTGTCCTTGTCGCGTGCACCGAGCACTGTGGAGTGGCCTTGTCACTGCCAACACCTTTGCCACAGCATGTCACAAAGGGCCCTTGGATACCCTGTCCCGTTCCATGCCACGGTGGCCATGCTGCACCGTGTCACAAAGGCCCCTTGGATACCCTGTCCCGTTCCATGCCACGGTGACCATGCTGCACTGTGTCACAAAGGGCCCTTGGATACCCTGTCCCGTTCCATTCCACGGTGACCATGCTGCACCGTGTCACAAAGGGCCAGGAGGAGGCTGTAGCACGCCAGGCGCCAGGGCAGGAGGCAGCCCAGCCCCTGCCAGGGGAACAGCAGCAGCCCGCGAGTCCTCACCTCTGCCACACACTGATTCTCATCATGGCAGTGGAAGAAGAGTGGGAGCAGGCTCTGACACACTTGTGTCATCAGGGGCTTTTTTCCTTCTTCTACTACAGGAGACAGCAAGGTTTGAAAGACAAACATGGAGAGCTGCTGCACGTAGCAATCATCCTGTGTAGCAGGAAGGAAAAAAGACCTTGGCATCAGCTGACTCTGGCCCACGTTGGCTCAGGCCTGCATCTCCACAGGGCACCAGGTGTCTGGGCAGCAGCCAGTCGCCCAGGCTGAGGGCACAGAGCCTTACGTGGTCAAAGAGTGGCAGGAGCATCTTAGCCAGCTGCAGGGCGATGGGGCTGGGTATTGGGGCGTCATTATCCAGGAACAAATCACTTAACAGAACAGTGGTCATCCTGACCACATCACTATCATTTTCCTGCAGGAGCTCCCCGAGGCTTTTGGTCAGGCTCCACATTCTTTTGGCCTGTGCAGAACAAAAGTGTGTGAAAGGCCACCCTGCTGCCACAGGGCCTAGAGGCCAAAGGCCTGTCCCGAAGCACTCGGGCAGCTGAAGTGGGAGGCAGGAGAGCTGGGAGTGGCTGCCCCAGTGCCTGAAGCCCAGCCAAGTTCCAGTGACTGCGTTCCCCAGCCCCACGCTGCCTGCAGGGCTTCAGCTGCTGCCCCCTCCTTACCAGCGAGGGATTATCCCTGAGCAAGAGGAGGGCCCTTAGAACCTGGCGGCGCATCTCTGTGCGCTCACTCAGCAAGTGCCTCGACAAGAGATCCATGATGCTGTCACTGCCTGCACTCAAGTCCAGGCAATGCAGGACTTGAAAGGCACAGGGCAGTGACAGGGGACCCGGCCGGCAGGAGCCCAGAACCGCACAGGGCGAGGACCAGGCAGCAGCACAGGGCGTGGGCACTGTCCCAGGCACTGCGGCCAAGAGAGGGCAGAGAGCCGGGAGGCAGCGCTGGCCTTCAGACTCACCTCCACAAGGAATGCCAGGGCAGGGAAGTTCCAGTATGGCATCTCTTTGCTGAGCAACTCAAGGAGACAGCCTGAGATGCTCTTGCACAAGCAGATGGATTCATTGCGCATCTCCCTGGAAGGCGGAAAATGGCACTAAGATGTGGCAGCAGCTCTCTGGCCTCAGAGAGAAACAGACAGCTTTCCCAGGCATTGCCTGAGAAAGTCTGAGAAGATCAGAGGAAAGAATGAAAAAACATTCTTATCTTAACGTGCTGCACCTGGTATTGTGAACATGTGGAATATGTTACGGAGATTTGTCTACCAAAGGGTGCTTTCTTAATTAACTAATGGTGATAGTGTTTAGACTAGAAAACCAATTAAATCAACCTATATCATACCTATCTATAAGAACAATGGGTTTCTTAATAAAGACTATTATTGATCAGACTTCTGCAATACATGGAGTCAATTATAATGATTATCCGTCTGGGGGCCCACTCCTATGACACTAAGACCCTGAGCGGGGGGGAGAAGCCCTTCCCAGGACAGACTGACGCAGTTCTTGTCCTCACCCCCCACCCTGCAGGGGGACCTGGGCCCTTTGAGATGTGGCTGCTACTGGGCACCCTCCTCTCCCAGCCTTTTCCAGTCTGCTTGGCCACGCCTCATCCCTCTGGCCCACAGCCACAGGGACTGAGTGGGATACCCCAGACACAGAGCACAAATGCTGGGAGCAATGGGGAGAAGAGGGTCTCACCTGGCCAGCAGACCCACGGCACAGTGGTGGGTGTCAGCACAGAGCAGTGTGTCCCAGCCACGCTTGCGTTCCATTGCCACCACCACATCCTCATAGTCCATTTGGCAGAGCAGGGATTTCAGGGTCCTCACTGCAAACCTGAGTGCAGAGCAAAGCCCGGGTCACACTGGGAGCACTGGCTCCTGCCCTGGCCATGTGGCAGGGACAGAAGGACTGGGATGGAGCACCTGTTGGGGCTGGTGGCAAGGCCGTGTTCTTCCTGGCATCCCCTCCAGAAGGTATCAACAGCCTCTGGCATCTCTTTGGTGCTGAAGAACACTTGGAAGAGCAGATGCACAAATAACTGCCAGAAATGCTCCATCACTATATCTGGGACACAGGGCTCCTGGAGGATCTTCCACATCACCACAGTTGCCTGCAAAGGACAGAGCAGCCCAAGGCAGCGTTTAGTGCCAAGGTATCCGTGTGACAGGGCCCGAGGGTGGCAGGGAGAGGCCCAGAGAGACACAGGGGGAGCAGCGGGCCTGGTGGCCCTGCAGCTGTCCTTAGGCCAGGTTTCAGGCCAGTGCCTGAGGCAGGGAGATGCAGTGGGGGAAAGAGGATGGAGAGCTGCTGGACAGGCAGCCCTGCTGCGCCGCCAGCCCTGGGGCCGCCCCCCGCCCACCCAAAGTGGCCCAGGTTGGAAGGAATTCCTGGCCCCAAGTGTCTAAGACAGCCCGACGGGATCTTTAGGAACGTCTCAGACCATCAGCAAATGCTGCCCTGCTCTGCGGGCTCAGGGCAGCAGAAGGAGCCCCCAGGGCTGGCGGCACAGCTGCGCTGGGAAGGGCACGGGACCTTCCATAGAAGCTGCCATGGCCTGTGGCCATCCTAAACCCGCGGGTGTGGCACGCACAAGGAACTGTGGGCCAGGGCACGAATGCTGCTCTGAGCCCTGGGGCCCGGGGAGCGCTGACACCAGCAGCTGTGGCAGAGTCCCCACCCAAGCAGACCTGCCACCCCCCGAGCCCTGACAGGGCTGGTGCCCGTGTCCTGCCCCAGAGACCTGTGCCCCTGGGGGGCTTCTGTGCCAGAGGGAGCCAAACCCACGTGCACTGGGGGCTGTGCTCCTGCCTGCAGGGGCTGTTGGCAGGAGCACCTGGAGCAACTGCTGGCAACACTTGGTGTCTGTCAGATGATGTTGCTCTTCCCTAGAATTAATTTTTTCCATAGAAGGGATTAGCAGCAACACAAAAGCTCCAGTATCTAGTGAAATTCACAGGACAGAGACACAGTCACATCTCATTGGACTTTTCTGTGCATTTTTAAAGCATTCTGGAATAAAAAACCAGCCAAGTGGAAAGTTTAATGCAGCAGTTTGTGTGTCTAGTTGAATCCAGCAGCTAATACCTGGTGCATTGGGAAAGTGCAGAGGACAGGAATACCGCTCAGAGGAAAAGAAGGTGTTCTGTGTCTCCGAGTGTGGTGCAAGCACCCTAAAGGAGCAGCCAAGGGAAGTGCTGCAAGCAGACCTGCTGTTCTTGTGCACGTTCCATTGCTGTTTCTGTGGGGTCCAGAGCCACCGCGGCAGCAGTGCCTCCGCAGCCCTGCTCCAGGAGACCTGGCCACCCTCCCCATGGTGGCAGCAGCTCTGCGGGCCCAGAGCTCTGTGTCGGGGGGCCTCGGTCACAGCACCTGGCCTGGGCAGCCGCGAGGGCCCGGGCTGGCCGCCAGCCCTGCCTCTGCCCCCTGCCCCTTATTGGCAGCAGCCAGACAACAGCGCCTGCAGGGCTCCCCGTGCAGGTGCTGGCACCAAACACTGGCGCTGGCTCTGGAGGGGGCAGAGGGCCGGCTGCTGCCCGGGGAGCCGCGGTGCCGCCCCGCAGCCCCACCAGGCCACGGCTCCATCGGCCCTGGCAGGAGCCTGGAGCCTGGAGAAGAGCCCGTGCGGCCTCTGGGAAGGGAGCAGCGTGTGCAGCATGGGCTGGTGCCCCTGGGTGCAGCACCGGCCATGGACTGACTCCAGAATTCAGACCTTACAGAACATGGTTTCACAGTTACGTTCACACAACAATAGATCTCTACAGCTTCAGGCAAGCACACAGCAGGTTTCTGTTGCCACATGGCAGGGTGCTAGACATGCTGCAGCCTCCTTCAAAGTGTCACCTTCAGAAGCTACTCTGAGTAAGGCCACAAGAACAGCCATTTCAAGTCCACACACACACATAGCCCAGCAGAGGAAAGACAGAAAGGGTCTATTTATGATGTATTCCAGCAAAGGTTTATTGCATCCACCAGGCTGAAGGGATCAGGGACAAAGACCTGGCCATGTGCTCTGCACAAGGTTAAGCAGGGGTCAGTGGCCAATGGTCTGAGGGCACGGGGGCAGCACAAAGGGCAGGGCAAAGGGCATTGGCCTACAGGGAAGACGGGGCCAGCCACCAGGGATACCACGACCAAGGACCAATGAGGAAACAGGGAAAGGAAAAACTGCAAGAATTTGGGACACGGGGAAAGGAACGGGGGTGGATCCTGGTGTTGCAAGGCTCCATGGCAGAAGTCTTCTCTTTAAGCCTAGGTGGAGACTATTGTATATTCTTCCAAGGCAAGGCCCTTGGGATTTCCCAGAAGGGTTGAAAGCATTCCACAGGTTTTATATAGGAAGGGAGTGAACAAAAAGCACAATTTTCACATCCAAGGCAGACAAATGATATGGGAAAAATAATTTCCAGAAAGGAACCTTATCTCAAGAATTTATGATGCAGCTAACTGCCATGTGAATCAGTGAAAGCCTGGCTCCTTTACTTTTCAGCAGGAAATATTTCCACATGAAAACAGATACCACTGCTATTGTTAGTGCTGGAGACCCCAGGATGATGTCATGCACAGCATACAGTACAGTTGGGTGATGAAATGCAGGGAGAAAAGAGCAGCAACCTCTCTGAATGTATCATAAGGATATAAGGCCTGCAGAGAGTATCCAAAGAGGGGAATGAAGATGATGAGGGGCCAGGAGAGGAAGCTGTATGAGGAACAGCTGAGGTCAATTGGCTTGTTCAGCTTGGAGAAGAGGAGGAGGTCTCAGCATGGCTGGCAGCTCTGTCCCAAAGGACAGCTCCAATCTCTGCTCTCTGTGACAGGGACAGCACCTGAGGGAGCGGCTGGAGCTGTGTCAGGGCAGGGTAAGGTGGAATTTTAGGAAAAGGTTCTTCTCCCAGATGGTGCTGGGGCACTGACCAGACTCCCCCAGGGAATGGGCAAAGCCCCAGGCTGACAGAGCCCAAGGAACATTTGAACAATGCTCTCAGGGATGCATAGGATAGGATTGTTGGGGTGTCTGTGCAGGGCCAGGGGTTGGACTCCATGATCCTTGCAGGTCCTTTCCTCTGGTGAGTCTGTGATTCCATGATTCCAAGACACTGGGAAGGAAGGTTGATACAATGCTTTGCCATGTAAATAAATGCTATTTGTAGTGCCTTCAGTTGGCTATGCTCTCAGTTATACAAAAAAAAAAAAAAAAAAAAAGTGACAGAATTCAGCTGCTATTTTAGACAGAAAGCACCACCTGACCATATCAAGCACTGCTCTATTTAAAGGTTCCAACAATCTCTTTTCCATTTCCAGCTGCAAAGATCAGCAAACACATTGGAAAAGTCAAATGAATTCCAACATTCCCAGAATACAAATTTTCATGACTGAAACCAAGGAAGGATTGCCCACAAAGCCTTAGAAACAGTTCCTAGATGAATTAATGTCTCTCCCATGCAGGGCTGTAATAGCTGAGCTTCTGCACTGCTGAAAGGTTCCGGGTAGAGGGGGAACAAGTCCACAATGTTCCTTTACAGTCTGAAATAGGGATGCAGGGTTGGACCAAAGGCTTTCCTTGGGGGGATGATGCTGAAATGCACTGCATTCTGGCACACCAGCATTCCAGACCCCAGCAGGTCTGACAGCCCGTGCAAGGAACAAGCAAGATCCAGCTACTACAGGGCAGAACAGGAAGGGAGATTGATTCATTCAGACATGCAATTAGTGCTTGAAGGAAAGCCACGCACAGGTCCCTCCAAGTGAAATGGAAAAGCAAAGGGATTTTGGCAACAGCAGCAGAACTCTTGGAAATAGGAGTGATTTGCAACAGCAGCTTAACAAGGACTAATTGCTGCCACTGGACCTTAGGGCAGATGAGAAGAGTTTGGGCAGGAATCATGTCAGGAGATAAGCAGTCATCTCCAGTTTCACCACAACCTTGCAACAAGGAGAAAGGACTGTTTGATCAACAAAAATAAAAATTGCAAGAAAATCCTGCTGACTCCTGCTGAGACATTGATACTCTGGTGCCTCTGTTACCATCTGCTTGGGGGTTGCTGCCAGCTCCGAGCAATTATTCTTCATTAATTGGTACCTGTGTGAGCAACAGAAAGAATTGGAGAGTAGAACTCCCAGCCCACCTCAGGGCTTTGCTTTCATCCTCTCAATTCATCAGCTCGGGTGATTGGATGCCTTGTCCAGGGGACGGTGTCCCTGCCCATGGCAGAGGGTGAAACTGGATGAGCTTTAAGGTCCCTTCCAGCCCAAACCATTCTGGGATTCTAGGATTCTTCTGAAGGCACTGTCATCCATCATGAGAGGTCCCTTTCCACAAGCTCCATCATAAACTACCCTCCCTTGTCCCAGGCTGCCCCACTGTATCTAATTACAACCTGTTTTCCAGCCACACTGCAGCTCCCTTTGATCTGTGCTGGCATTGTTTTAGCAGCACTGGACTAAATGGCCTCCAGAGTTCCACTATTTTACAGCCTATTTTTTAGGCAACTTGAAGTCCAGCACATCCCAGAAGCAGCCCAGGAACTGGTGATCCTTGTAGATTTTATTAGGTGGTTGCAAGTCATTCATGACTAAATGGAACTTAGGTCAAGTGAATATCCAGTTCTCCCAGGAAAAGAGTGAGCTGACTGGGGAATGTTTGGCACAGGTTTAAGGTCTTTTGGACAAAACCGCTCTGTGGAAGAAAGAGCCAGGCCGTAATGTCCGGGCTGATCAAGTTGTTCCAGATTATCCCATTCAACAGTTACACTTCTTAACCTTCTGTCTCTAAAGGTGACAGTGTTCTCTGCATCAATATTCTGTCTGCCTCTCACATCCCACTGTGGGACCCAAACCAATTCTTTCTTGAAACAGAAGGCAAATGGACACAAGGCTGATGACCGGACACTCAAACTGGACCTGAGGCTTTGGGTCAGCTCCTCACACTGCAGCTTATTGCACAGGACACAGGAAGGCTACAGCAATCCAGCCTAATGCCCCACTTTGATAGTGGAAAAATAAACCTTACTCCTGCCCTCACTTCTGTCTTTTCTATTTGGATTGCCTGCTCTTCAGAGTTAAAAGATACCAAGGGTAAAGGATCCAGCACAGCAGCTCCTCATTTTCTAGATGCCCTCCAACACAAAGACAACTAAAATAACCTTGGGTTAGTCACAGTTATTCAGAGGCAAGCGAGCAAAACAAGGTATTTTAAACAGTGCCAAAAATTGATAGAAACCCCAGATGGAAAACTGTACTTTTCATAAAGAAAAACACAATTGAGGAAGAGAATTTGTGTCTCCTTTCTTCCCCAGTATCAGACACTATGAATATAACCATCAACAATTAATACTAGCTCTTCTTTCAAAGACACACCAATTTAACACCAACACAAATGCTGGTAACTTGATTTCAAGGCAGACAATGGATTTAAAGTGGGCTTACCCTGCTCCAGTAGCTGCTCTTGAATTTCAGCTCCACTCATTTAATTTTACTGGAAATCTCTTTCAGAAAGCCCTTCAAATCAGAGAGCTTAAAAAAAAAAAAAAAAAAAAAAAAAAAGGAGGAGGTTATTTTTGTAAAGTCCATCTAGCTGAAGGAATGCAATGCTAATGAGCAATGAAAGTAACAAGTAATTGCCTCTGCAAGTATTACACCAAATGCAAGAGTGCTTGAGAGGACAGTCCCAAGTACAGTGTTCATCAGGGCAATTAATGCAGCGAGTCCTGATGCCTCTATTTCAGAGAGTTAACCAGCAGTTACCAGAAGAGAGAAGCAAGAGATGGGTATTTCTTTTCAGGAGAGAATTAAGGTTAGCAGATCTCCTTTCAGTTTCAAGAAAAGCATCACTAGCCACAGACTCACTCACCACTTCCCTTTCAGTCTGGAAGCAAGCTATTATTTTGCAATCTAAATTATTTGACAGTAACAAAAAAAAAAGTACTCTGAAGTATATGTGGGTCTTTTCACCTGAGCTTCTGGAAAAGTCTTTGCTTCATACCAAAGCCACTTCTCACTTCAGAGGCCAAACAGATAATTCAGTCAAGCCTCAGAAAATACCCACTGTGAACACACATACCCATTTCAACATCACAGTCATAAAAAGATTATTTGCATGGCAATTCTCATAATGTGCTCTCTGGTAGATGGGTAGCCTTATATTGCTTAATTACACCAGGCCAACACCACCAGAAGCTAAACTTGACAGACACCTTTGCGATGGGGACATGTCAAGTGTGTGACATCCCTTCTTCCCACTGGCATTTCATGGACCTGTTATACAGCTGAATGTTGCAGTTTAAGATGTAAATTACTTCGTTTTATTCCATCCCACAAGGAATATTGAGAAACACTCCTCCAGTGCTAAGCAAGTGTCTTTGTTTCATTTTCCTGCATCATATAAAGCTCTTGTGGCTTGGAAGGGACCTCACAGCTCATTGTTGGCTGCTCCAACCCCATCCAGCCTGGCTTTTGATACTTCCAGGGATCCAGGGGCAGCCACAGCTTCTCTGGGTACCCTGTGCCAGGGTGGGCCCAAACTCACAGCCAAGAATTTTTTCCCATTATCCCATCTAATCCTACTCTCAGTTCAAAACCATTCCCTTCTGTCCTAATCACTACACGCCCTACACACTCCTATCTGTGGAATCAAAAGAGCACGGTAAAAAAGCTCAATTAAAATGGGGCCCTGGTGACAGTGACACAGACTGCACACGACTCTGGGAGGCTCATTTTCCTTGCCATGGCACACCCCCTGCTTTACCAGAGAGAATCACATTCCCCGGGGCAATCTGGGACAGAAGTACCTTTGAATCCAGTTGTCTGAATCGGTGCACCATCCTAGAAGCAGAAGGAGAACACGGAGCAATGGGGTCAGTCTGGATACCAAGGAAAACTTGGCTAATTACCACACCCCCACTCCCTCCAGTGCTCCATCCTCCCAGGGAGGCAGGGCTGCATGTGACTGGCATAATTTTTAGTACAAGTAAATTAACTAACATGCAAATTACTATTAGTAGGATGCTATTACATTTTCCTTCTCAAGACGTTTTTGCTTCCAGTACCAAGGAAATGTTTTTGGTATTTGTTCGGCTTCTTATGCAATGCTGCTTGTCTCTGGGTAGTCTTAACCTGAACACTTATTTGTGGACAGCAATGTTCATGCCCACAGATATGGAAGGGTCTGTTTTTTCTTGTCCATTCCTATCAGCTCTCTCTGATTAAGGGAAATATTCAAGCTGCCAGAAGTTAGCAAAGTTAAGCAATCATACAGAGCAGGTTTAGTTCTCTAGCAGTGTTCTGGTTTCTTGCTTTCTTTCGGTTTTTGTTGTTTTTTTTTCCTCTTATACTGTTACTCTTAAAACGGTGAGACAGATCCCATAGATAATGTTTCCATGAGCTGGCAGTCAAAGAAATATCCAAGCATAAGTCTCCAAAGTTTCAAATACCATGATTCTAAAGATCATCTTCCCCGCCTCAGAAGTCTCCACAACTCATGCTACTAATTACACATCTCCATTTGGATTACTGCTGTGGGAATGTCTGAGATTCCAGGTCTAACAGTAAACATTCTCTGCTAAATGTAAAATCATAGAATTATTTGGGTTGGAAAAGATTGAGTCCAACCAATTCCACCACTAACTCATGTCCCCAAGTGCCATATCCACATGGCTTTTAAATCCCCACGCCAAGATGGGGGTGCCACCACTGCCTTGGGCATTCTGTTTCAGGGCTGGACAACCCTTTCTATAAAGAACTTTTTCCAGCCATCCTGTGGTGGCTTTTACCATTGTGAGCACATGGCGCTTGCCTTGGCGTGTCTGGGGCAGTGTGATGTAGTCAATCTGCCAGGCCTCCCCATACTTGTACTTGGACCACCGCCCACCATACCAGAGGGGCTTCACTCGCTTGGCCTCCTTGATCACAGTACACGCTTCACAGTCATGGATCACCTGAGAAATACTGTCCATGGTTAGATCCACCCCTTGGTCTTGTGCCCACTTACAGGTGCCATCTCTGCCCTGATGGCCTGAGATATCACTGGCCCATTGTGCTCGTAGCAACAGCCACTGTTTGAGGCTTACAGTCTGGTTTAGCTCCTAGCTTAGGCTCACAGTCTGGTTTAGCTGCTGGCTTTGAGCTTGGGCTGTTGGCTGCAGCCTGAGTGACTGGGATAGCTGCTGATTTATCTCCCTGCCCCCCTTCCTCTGTCTGCTGCCCTACAGTATCTAGCAGGGTGCGATAAGCATATGCCAGGGCCCAGAACGCTGCAATGATCTTTTTCTCCTTAGACTTACCATGGCATTTCTCTTTCAGGTACTCTGCCACCTCAGCTGGATTCTGAATTTGTTCACATGGGAAGTCCCAGGCTATAGGGTCAGAAAATTCCTTTAAGATTTGGCCCATATGCTCCCATTTCTTTCTTGAACTCCCTCACATCTCCTGAGTTAAGAGGTACCTCCACATAACCTATTCCCGGAATTTCGGCTGGTTGTCCCTGCTGACCAGCACTGGGGTTAGGGATTATTCCCAAAGCTACTTCCCTTAATAGATACAGAGCTTGCCCTTCCCTTTCTCTTTCCCCCCTTGTTAGACTACGAGTAACGTGGTGATTTTTCTCAGGGACCGGCTCTGGGATTTTTATCTCTTAGTTATCAAAATCTCCCCCTTGATCCAAATCGGGGTAGACTGCGGGTGGTGCTGGTGGGGGTGGAGGAGGGGGAGGTACGTATGGTAGAGGGGGTGCAGTTGGAACTTCCTCAGGCTTTTTATTTTTCTTTTTCCCTCCCTGGGTGCTTAAGGCAAAAAGTTTTGCTCTTGTTTCCCCCACTATCCAGAGAGCAGCATACTTGCTCTCTTCCATATCAAAAGGTTCTTTAGAGTTTACATAAATGTTTAATGCCTGGTAAATCCAGTCCTCAAAGCTTCCAAACACTGGCCAAAATAAATTATCACTACGGATTTGTTTCCCTCCCCATACTTTTATACAATAATGTATCATTTTTGCCTTATCCTTCCCTTTTCTTGAAGGATATTCATCCCAAGATTTTATCATTAGACCTAACGGACTGTCAGGGGGTATCTGGGGAAGCTTCAGCGGGGTCCCCCTCCCCATGGAAGCAGAGGGCTTGCTTTTCCTCTCTCCCATCTTCCAGGACACCTTCACGCACACACACACTCGCGGCCCCCTGTTTGTGGCCCAGCCCCTCTCGGGGTCTGGAAACTGCACTACTTAGAGGTCCGCACTTGCCTCGTCCTAAAAGGACATCTCATGCGTTATGTCCTGGGATCCCAACCCCAACCGAGCGGATCCCCACTTTTAGACTCATGCTGTCCTGTGTCTTCGCCTGGGCTTCATGCACAAAGATTACGGGGTTACCTTTTGCTTAATACCAAATTTAGGTTCGTCAGTAAGGGTCCGGGAATGCAAAGCCTGCACCAGGGCTGCTGCAGAGGCAGCAGGACGCCTCCCTGATTAGGAATTCCCACCCGGTCGCCCTTATCCAAGTCACGGCACCAAATTTGTTATGGACAAATTCAATTGTGGAGGCTAATTATAGATAAATCAATTAACAAGAATTTATTAAGCAAGCAGTATTAAGCAAAAGAACAACGCTGGGCGGCCGGGGAGTCTCTGCTCTGCCACGGCGCACCTTCCCCCTTTGACCTTTTTGTTTTTATAGTCCCTTTTTTTTTCCAGTTGATGTATTTTCTGTCGATGCACTCTGCGCCGGTGCAATTGGGTGCTAGGGGGTCTTTTTTCTGCCCTTGGTGGTCATAGGAATGAAGGCTCCTCATCTTCCTTGCAGATTGTCCTTGGCCTAAAAGTTAACTTGTATATAATTAGTTACACAGTCTGCTATGCTACTTGCATCTGCACAATTCTTAAGCAGAATACTTGCTGTTTCCCCACCTTTCTCTTTCACCTCACACATCTTGAGATTCCCTACTCAGTTCAAATTCTTATCTCTTTCAATGCTCGTTTTGATGAGCAAAGACCTTTTTATTTATTATACTCTGGACATCTTAGCCCTCAGTCTAGAGGAGCTGTAGACTATATAGAGGAAGTTTACTAGATTAAATACGAGGAAAGTGGTCTCTTTAACATTCAGGGGAAACTGAACCTTTTCAAAAAGAGACTTAACAGATTCAAAGGAGAAGAAGGAAAGGAAAGGCTGGAAAGATTCATCCCTTGTTTTTCATCTAATAAACTGTGTGTAATTTCTAATAAACCCCCAAAACATGCTACTGGAACTGGGACATAGGGTAGGATGGAGAAACTATAAACCAAATATATCTTGAACAGACTTCAGTACTTTTGTAAACTCCCTATAAATTATTATTACTGAGCCTAGCACAATAGCTATTCAAACCCATGCCCCTCTACTGGAAAAGCTATGGATTAGAACAATAGTGGAGCTGTTTTCAGATAAGAAAATAATCCTAGTGCCTAGAAAGTTATTACAACTTCAAAAAAGCCTTGGGACTAGAAATACATGAAGGCCCCCACCCCGAGAGACATTACCACTTCAAGTAACATCGTTACTGACTGCTTTGTGCCACTACAGAGTAAGCACAACCAAAATGCAATCATTACAGGTTTTTCTTCTTTCTTGGGCCTCACATTGGGTGCCAAAAATGGTTGGTTTAGGGTAAAATTAGTGGTTTTTTTAGAAAGTAGATTTAATTGGCCCATCCCCCAACCGGTATGGGAAAAAATACTTCTTTGGAGAGAAGTGACAATAAGAGAAGGAGTTAACAAGAATGCAACTTCTTTATTGCTGAAGTTCAATACTAAATTCTGTAATCTTAGACTAACTAATCCTATGTTTTTAACAAATAATCATCTACTCAATCCTAACTTGAAGAATCCTAAAAGCTTAATCTTCTTTTAAAATAAAACAGCCCGAGTTCATAGATGTTTCCTTGCTGAAGTAGACAGCTGGTGCCAGGACTCCACTTGCTGCTTGCCAAATTCAGATACTCATTGCTGAATGTGGGACAGCTTTTTGTGGAGGTACTGGCATCTGCTCCTCATCTCAGAGTAGCTGGGGCTACCCTAGGAAGGAGAAATCAAAAGAAAATTAGGGCATGTCAACATTTATGCAGAGTTTAGAATTTCATGACCTTTTCTTTAAAATAGCCTTGAGGCAGACTCAGAGGTTACCAAGCCAGGCCAGTCTGGTTTTATTCATGTAAAAAAATAAAATTACTCTCAGTTTGACTTTGGAGGTATTTTTCTCTGTGAGCCACCATCCTTCTGGGAAATTTGCAAACTGAGCCTGTTGTATTACAGACCCAAGAACAAACTCTAGACAAGTCTGAAACCACAACAACAACAACAACCCAAAGCACAGCAGCTCCTAAAGAGGGCAAGACTCATTAACGCTTAAAGCCACTGAAGGGAGTCAAGCCTTCTTCAATCCCTTCTCCCTCAAATCAACAGGTGTGAGGTTTATCAAGCTCATGATACAAATCCAAGATGAAGTGGCAATGAGAATAATAGATGCCACATCCAAACACTGTCACACCAAAGCTTCTGCTCCTCTGGGCCTGAAGATCGGTTCTCTTTGCAATGACAAAAACTCATTCCACATGGGAATAAACACTTCAAACCATCCTGAGATAAATATTTACAAGGAATAAATCTTTAACAAGTTAAAATTCAGTGCAAGGACAGACAACAACATATGCCAGGGATGCATCCCAGGCCAGATGCACCTGACTGGTGTGCAGGATAAGTTTGAAAATAAAACTACAGATGCCTGTCAACATTTTGGGAGGTTCCCGAGAAGCAGTAGCTTCGACTACTGGCCTCTGCCCAGTGACATTTGCTAGCAAGAGCCCGAGCACAGGCCTCACTGCACTGCTCCCCTGCAGGGCCAGGCTTGCCCTCAGCCTTCCACAGAGCATCCCTGGCTGCACCCAGTGGGGCCCAGGGCCCTGCCTGCTCCAAAGGCCACAGCTGCCCCAGAGCCCCAGAGCTGCAGGAGGCCTGACTGCCCTTGCCAACACCACTGCTCTGAGACAAGCTGGGAGCAATTTCCAGTGTTTTATACCACACACACACACACACACATTTCTCCCTCCCCTCCTGCACTGCAAATACGATGAGGGGATGCAGCAGCACTGCTGCAGCTGAGCCTGTGCAGCTGCACTGCAGGAAGGGAGGGCCCATCCGGGCCTAACCCACTTCGGTGTTCATCTCAGCACTTCTCCCCACCTGGCCCATCTCCTCCTTTAGCTTTCTACCTCCTTAGCTGACATTTACTATTAAAGAATGTCTGTACTATTGACTCTGGAATATGGTCTTTCTTGCACCTTAATTCATGCAGAGGCTTCTCTTAATCATCAAATCTTTACTCCATCGTTATCCACACTGGAGTTAGGAAAAGCTGCACATTGGTACCTTCATGGAGATCCAAGGGACACTACTGCTTCAGCCTCCCGAATTCTCTTCACATCTTTTTTGACATGGTAGTCTTCAACACACGAGTGCTGTCATGGTAGAACTCAGAAATTTGTGTCTTTCTTGAACCTAAAGGGTGCAGGGGAAATGGAGCCGACATTTGCAGACAGGTAGGAAGTAGAACGGGATGTCACAGCCAGCACCCAGGAAGAAGAGTGGCCACCAGGTTCTGCCTGGAGGTAACTGAGCTACTGCTCAATCCTCCACTTCTTGCTCATCGCAGGACTGGTCAAGCCAGAAGCACAAGGCCGTTTCTACAACAATAACAAAACAGTTCATTAATCTCTGACCCAGATCAGGTTTTGCTCCCATTGTAAAAAAGCAGGATTTGTGAACTGGCAAAGGTTGAAAACACATGTTTTTTAAATAAAAATAGCTGTCAAACATGGAGGACCTCCAGGTAAATATCTGCTCTATTGCATTCCTAGTTTCTCATCTTAGGACTTAGCCAGTCCTTCTCCAAGTCTACTGCTAAAAGGCTTTGGGAAGTAGACACTCCCTTCAGCAGCTCCAGCAAAGCCTCCCCAAAGGGGAGGTCCAGTGAGTTTTATCTGGGTCCCAATTTCTGCTTGCACACACCAGGAACAGACTCAGCTTTTGCTGTCAAACATCCACGTGATTTACTGAAGAGGCACCTGGCTGTTTTAGAGTTTTATGTGTTAAAAACGAGACTAGTGCTTCCCTCTTAGAATCCAGGAGTACAGGGTGTGATGGTCGGTTGTGAATTCTCATCAGGATGAACAAAGACAGCAGCCACATGTCAGGAAACTCTTGTGCTTTTGGGAGCAGCTGTCGTAAATCCAGCAAGCTACCTGCTGTGCAGACTCAAAAGCTGCTGGCTAACAAGCCCTTGAATTTGTACAAGAGAGTGTCACAAGTGGTTACCAACAAGCCCTCACTGTTGCTCAGTGCCCTTCAATCATCTCTCAGCTCCTCCCAAGGACCTTCTCACAGCTGCTGACTCACAAGCCACAACACAGAGCCACAAGCTCCCCACAGCCACAGCAACTTCCAAACTGAGGATGGAGTAAAACAGGACAGCCGTGTGTGCCCAGGCAGAGTGAGGGAGGGGAGAAACAGAGGCAGAGCAGGGACTGAGGAAATATCACCATTCTGTAGCTCCTGTGTTGGTGCAGCCACGTGGATAGTGCAGAGCTGGAGTCAGCAATGAGAGTGACAGAGAGACAGAGGGACAAGAGAGAGAGAGGGCCCCATCTGCCCCACCCTGCTGCAGCCTCTTATGTACAGGAGATTTTTCCTGCAGAGCCAGCCCTTTGAGGCCTCCTCCAGGGAATGAGTTGAGGGTGGGGACTGAGCTCAAGTCTTCAGGCAGAGCAGAAATTTGGCTCAGGACAGTGCTGCTCCACCCCTGCAGGATCCTCTCTTCTCATCACAGCCTTCCTGTCACAGCACTTGCAATGTCTGAGGCAAACCATGCTTAGGCCTGGTCCTGCACATTCACATCACACCTTTTATACCACCAGCAAGTCTGCTGAAACTTTAATACAGTGTACAGAATGTTAAAAATGCACAAAATACCTGAACAGGTCTTGCTGGAGCATCTCTCTCAGAAGGCCCTGGAGATGTTGCTTGGCTGCTGCTGGTGGGGTTCTGAGATGGAGCTGCTTTTCTGTAAGGATGGTCCAATATTTCAAGTTACAAGGCCTAAATGTCAACTGCCATAGTCCTTTCCTTGCAGACCTTCAGTGCCAGGACTCCAGGAAAGAGCATGAAGCTGAGTTGAGGGAGCTTTAGGCAGGATATCAGGAAAACATTCATGCCCCAGAGGGTGCTTGAGCACTGCAACAGGCTCCCCAGGCCAGTGGTCACTGCAGCAAGGCTTCAGGAAGTGTTTGGATAGCACTCTTGGGCACCTGGTGTGATTCTTGTGGTGTCCTGTGCAGGGCCAGGATCCTGGCAGGTCCCTGCTGCCTCAGCATATTCTAAGAACCTAGGCTTCATTTCCCAGGGCTTTCTTCTGAAAAGGCTCTTTTCCTTCCCCAAAAGACTGAACTTACCTAGAAAGTATTAACTTCAAATTCGCTCTCTCGGTTTTGCTGTAGCCAGGCCAATCAGTCTGAAGGGCTGGAAACAGATGTTCCTTCAGACTGAAGGAATTATCCTTTGCATTCACGTCAGCAACCTACAGGCAGACATTTCGGAAAACAAATGTTCATTACGCCCATATATGCAAACTACAGAAACCTAAATGGGCTACTTGAGTTGGGATGGCAAAATGTGGCTCTCATTATATCGGGAATGTCTTCAGGGTGAAAAATCCCTGCCACTGCCCTGGGCAAACACAGCAACAAACCTCACAGGTTCAGGGAATCAGTTCCTCAAAGTGACTGTAGGATCAACTGAAAGTGTATCCATGTTGAATTTGAGTCCTTTGACTAGGTTCCAAAATGCTTTTTCCTAGCTAAAGAGGAACTAGTCCTATTGGATATATTAATGTTTGCATTATTCAGCAAAAGCCTCTGTGGATGGGGAATATTTAAAAAGGAAGGAAGGATCTACTGCATCTTTCAATGGGTGTGCGTTATGAAAGCCTATGAGAAAGTCATCCTAGTGGAACTTAACTCGAAGGAGTATTGGAAAAGTCTCTAATTTAAACAGGCGTGGAAGTAGAAAAATTATGAACGGCAGAATAGCATGATGGAAGAAGTGCTGGCACAAGCTCCACGATCTCACCTCCTGAAGGATTTTTCCAAGGGAATCCTTGTCCTTTTGCCTGACTCCATCTCTCTGCAGCCGAGCAAGTAACTCTGGCTCCTTGTAATCCCTCAGAGCAAGTAAATGAATCACCCTGTCCCTGTAGGGTCGGCCGTAAACAGCAGCGCAACCGCTCCAGTCAATGTCTGCAAGTCTCACAGACATCATCCTCTTCTTCTCAGGCACAGGACCTGAATTGCTTTGCTGGGCTCCTCTGACCACTGCTTTTGCTCCTAAAGAGAGGGAAAACCAGAAACAAATAGTTCAAATGGGAGGTTTGGAGAAGGCAAGGAAGCTGATTCAAAAGGATGTACCAAGACTTTTGAGCCTCTATTTGTCCGTCATTTACAGATCTCCAAGCATCCAAAGAGTAAAGCATTAAAAAGAAACAGTCATTAAAAGCTGGTAAAGGAGTGATGCTGGATGGGAAGTTTTTAGGAAAAAATATTTTTATGCATTTTACTTTTATATGATTTCCCCAGTTTGTAAGCTCAAGCATTCAGCTATCTCTAGAATGACACTAAGTGCACCCTCAGCAAGTGCATCCTCTAGAATGGATTAGGTGCACCCTCAGCAAGTTTGCCAAAACCAGAGGCATGGGATGCCATCTGGAAGGACCAAGAAGTAGGGCCTTTGGAACCTCATCAGATTCAACAAGGCCAAGTGCAAAGGGCTGCATCTTTGGGTTTCGGACATTCCCTGACACCAAGACAGGCTTGGGGATGAAGGTGGGGAGGACTTGGAGGTGCTGGTGGATGGGAGGCTAGATATGACTAAAAAACCATACGGATATCCAGTAAAAAATTAAATGGAAGCATATCTAAAAGTGGTCCATCAGTTTAATACCCTTTGCACTTGGATTGTGTGACTCCTTTTCTGCTTGGGTGCTGCACTCTCTGCTCATCTCTTTGGCTTTGCTCATGGCAAGCATTGTATCGAAACCCAAAGGATGGGATTTTTTCACCCTGTCTAACTCTGTTTCCTCACCTTTGGAGCTGGGAATCTTCCGCTGCACCCTGACAGGCGCTGGGATTCCAGATGGAGTCCGAATTTTATCTTTCTCTTGGAGCTGACAGGTGGAGGTGGAAATGGAGCTGACACTTGGAGCCAGGTTCAAAGTTGAGCAGGATGTGGAAGGCAGGTCCAAGGAAGAAGGAGAGTGGCCACCAGCTGCTGACTGGATACCATGGGGCTCTTGGTCAATCCTCTGCTTCTTGGTCATCACAGGATGGATAAAGGCAGAAGCCAGAGGCCGTTTCTGCAAAGATGATGCCAATTAGGTTTGCTTTGAAAAAGCAGCATTTCTGACCTGGCAATGGTTGAACGCACACCTTTCTTACCTAAAACGGCCTGTCATACAAGGAGGTGCTGCAGCTCAATATGTTCTCTATTTCATTCCTACTTTCTCACCTGAGTATTCAGCAAGTCCTCCTCCAGCTCTGTAGCTAAATGGCTTTGGGAAAAAGACATTCCCTTCAGCACCTCTATCAAAGGCTTCCCCAAAATGAGGAGCTCAGGTTGGTTTTATCTTGCTCCCTATTTCTGCTTAGACACACCAGGAACACACTCTACTCTTGCTGTCACACAGCCACACCATTCACTAAAGTGGCCCCAAGAAGCCACTGGTGCGGTGCTGATCACAGCGTGTCCAGTGCAGAGATGATAACAACAGAGAGAAGCCCCAGTCTGGCTGCAGGTCTCATTCCTGCTGCTCTCCAGAGGAAACCCTGGATCACAGCCTCTTCCCTACCAAGCACACACTGCTCCCACCATCAGCAGCTCAGAGCAGGACTGCCAGACACAGCTCTGTGCCAGCCTGCTGACAGAAGTGCTGTAGGCACGGAGGTAGGACATAAGAGGATGCTGGGCCCTGCAGCACTTCCTGCTCTGGCTGGGAAAAGAGCTAGGGAAAACCAGGGCTGTTTAAAGAGAATTCTTTAAGGTATAGAAAAGATACCTTTCAAGCAGGGTTTTCCAAGATTCTTTCAAAACTTTTTCCTTGCCCCCTTGTATTGGCCATCTCTTGATTTTAAGCCTGACAAGTCCAAGGTATTCCCTAATGATTCCAAGTCCCCTCCTCACACATGGGATAGCCTGAATCAAAATGGGAGCCTAAATGCTGCTTAGGACAGAAAAACAAGTTTCCTAGAAACGCCTCAGTACTGGAATTTGTCCTTATGCTAGACTTCCCTAAGATTTCTCTTCAAACATGATTTAGGTACTAGAGCTGCCATATCATCAAGAACCCTGCACAGACACAGCTAGGAACCAAAACCATGTCTACATCTTGTCCTTAGCAGAGTTTCCTATGCACCATGACAAACAAATCACGGGTGCAAGCTTGTTGCAGGCTTTGACATTGTAACCATCTTGAAAAGTATACAGGAATCCCATTAGAAGTACACACTTCAGGTTTCTATGATGTACAGACACTAGTGCTTCATACCACAGCTTGGACACCAAGAGCAAGTGGGATAAAACATCATATATGGTAGAGAATGTTTAAAAATTCACAAAATACCTGAGCAGTTCTCGGTGGAGTATTTCTTTCAGAAGGTCCCAGAGACAGTGACTGGCTGGTGCTGGTGGCATTTGGAGATGGAGCTGTTTTTCTGTAAGGATGGTCCAGCATTTCAGGTTACAAGGCAAAAATATCAACAGTCCTTGTTCTTTCCTCACAGCAAAAACAGACCTTCATTTCCCAGAGGGTTTTTTTGAAATGGTTGTTGTCCTGGCTGAACTTACTGAAAAAGGGTCACCTCCAATGTCTTTCTATCTCTTTCACTGTAGCCAGGCCAATCAACATGAATGTCTTTGAAGAAATGTTCCTTCAGACTGAAAGAATTCTCATTTGCATCCAGGTTGGCTACCTAGGGGCAGACATTTAAAACATCAATATTCATTGCACCTAAAGGCAGACTACAGATGTAAAACTGGTAGTACAGAGCTAAAGCAAAGCTGAAAAGAAAATCATGCACCAGTTTTCCAGGACTTTTGTTTGATGTGAAGAACAAAGCAGCTGTCATGTAAGAGGCAACAATATTAAACAGGTGTGGTCCATTTGGGCTGTAGAAATTTGGATGTAAGTAAATGCCAAACTGCTGCAAGCATGGAGGAAATGGAGGCTATGAAAATCTCTCCCTGCACCAGGGATCCAGGTTTTTTGGTCTTTAACGCAGCTTTGAGAATCAAGGTACACTATGCCAGAACTTCACATTTGAAATACATGGAGAGACCAGGTTTTTCCTTTCTGTTTTCCTTTTTTCAGGAGTAGGACCTGAAGAACATCATCCCCATGAGCAAGTCCATATTTTTCCACTCTCAGGAGGACACCTGCTGCCCTCTTGATTCACCCAGCTACATTGCCATGGCAGAACACAGCCTGGACCTGTAATGGGGCAGGTTTTCATCATCCCATGAAGCACCACAGGATGTTGGCATTTGTCTCTGCAAACAGAACTGCTTTTCTTTCTCAAGTGTCTGCTCAGAGGAAACTGCAGCTTCCTATGGAACACTTATAGGAGATAACCTACCTAGAGCTACACTTCAACAGCTTAAAAGGAACAAAGATGCCCAGAATCAGGAATTCACTTTTTAAAAGCAGAACTCAGGCTGTGTTGGAAGAGAAGGAAGGTTGTGAATAGAAGAGCTCAGCAAGTTCTCCCTACTGGTTTTTCACGTATAGCAAAAAACACCACCATCTCCCTATGAAGTTAAAAGAAATGTAAATAACAGTTTTCAGGATGTAGTGCTGTTCACACAGCCCTTTCAGAATGCAAACCAGTATCTCCAGGCAGTTCACACTGCAAACAAGAAAATACTCCTTCAAAATCTCCTTAAACATTAACAAGAACAAACAGAAAGGAGACATTTTTTTCATCTCTTACCCTCTAAGGAGCTGAGCTTTGAAGTCTTATCATCACCTGTTTCGTAGCTATAAAGGAAATATTGCTACTTGATATGGTAATGCTTGCATAATTCAGCAACAGCCTACATTGATGGGGAATATTGAAAAAGGAGGAAACAGCCACTGCATCCTTCAGTCCATGTGAATTGTATGAATGGCTGTAATAAAGAAATACCAGTGGCGCTAAAAGGACAACTGGAAAATTATGAGAAATAATAGGTGCCGAGGAAGTCGACAACTCAATTCACACAGCAGCAAAGCAACTCTGTGTTCAAAGTTGGGCCACCATCTTTATCATGTAGGATTTTCCTGGAACACCCTTCCCTGGAAGGCAATCCCCACAGTAGAAGCAAATACCATTGAGAGGCCACCAAGTCCCTTCAAATGAAATACTGCCCTATGCGGCCACCAAAATTCTCTCCTCTGAAACTTGTCCCAGGGTATTTTAAGGACCTCAGCTAAGTGTTTCACCCAGTTGAGAGTTTCACCCTGTGAAGTTACTTCATGAAGCAGTTTACCAGTGCAAGGAAAAGAGGGAGGATTAAAATAAGGCATGAGAAGCAACAACATTACAAAGAATTTATCATTGCCAGGTATTCTAGAAGAACAACAACAAGGCCTCCAAAGTTTTGAAGGTTTCTTTCTTTTTGTCACATGGACTTGCAGTTGGGTGGAAACTGAGTAAAGTTGATGGGAAAATGCAAAGGGCATTTCCTAAGCTTCTCATTAGTTTCTAATTGAAACCCTGAAGTAAGACTGCTAAGAGTTAGCATTGCTGGCAGCAGCCCCAGGATCTCACCTCCTGAAGGATCTTTCCAAGGGACTCCTTGTCCTTTTCCACAACTCCCTCTCTCTCTAAGCAGGTAAGTAACTCTGACTTCTTGTAATTCTTCAGAGCCAGTAAATGAATCACCCTGTCTCTGATGGGTCGTTGAGAAACAGCACTGAAAAGTCTCCGGATGTATTTTGCAGGGTTCATGGGCATCGTTCTCTTCCTCTCAGGCACAAGATCTGGAGAGCTGTGTGGGGCTCTCCTGAGCTCTGGTATTTTCACTTCAGTAAAGAAAAAACAGAAAATGAATTGTCAAACGGGGAGTGGGAGGAATCAAGGTAGTTGATGCAAAACGAAGTACCGAGACTGTGGAAACTCTATTTGTTCAGAATGTATAGATCAGTACAAATCCAGACAGTAAAGCATTAGGAAGAAACAGTCATTAAAAATACCGTGTGAAGGAGTGATACTGGAGGGGAGGTATTTATGGAAAACTCTTTATATGCATGGTGGTTTTTGTATTTCTCCAGTTTGTAAGCTCAAGCACTAAGCTATGTCAAGAATGATATGGACGGGGGGATTAAATGCTTCTTTGGCAAGTTTGACAACACCAGAGGTCTGGGATGCAATCCAGAGGGACATGGAGAACCTTGGCAAGTAGGGCCCTGGGAACCTCATCAGATTCAACAAGGCCAAGTGCAAAGAGCTGCATCTTTGGGATTGGGACATGCCCTATCCCAGCTGGGCATGGATGCTGGGATGGGATGAGGAGCCTGGGATGAAGGTGGGGAGGACCTGGGGGTGCTGGTGGATGAGAGGCTGGGCATGAGCTGGAAACATGTGCTGGCAGCCCAGAAAGACAACTGTGTCCTGGGCTGCATCAGGTGAAACGTGGCCAGCAGGTCAAGGGAGGGGATATGACAGAGCAAGCAGTGTTTGAAACCAGGAACTCGTGCTTAGTGGCTGATGGAGACTTGATGCATATTGGTGAGAAATCCGGGAGCTTTGTCTCTTCCATCCCACACACAGAGACTGACCTTTCTTGACACGCTCCTTCAGTCTTTCAATGTAGGTCAAATTTTTAATGCCTTTCTCCACTTCCTGTTCCTTGGACCATGCCTCTCTATTTGTCTGCAAACCTAATTGCACAAACATCACACACTTCAATTATTTAGAGCACTGTAAACATGCCAGTTGTCGAGTGAAGACACCGCTAATGTTTTGAGAAGTTCAATCCAATGTGGATAGAGAAACTTCCTACAGCATTCAAACAAAACACCTCCTAAAACCATACCCCTGAATGACTTCTAACAAAAATTACCTGAAGCCATAAGCAAGCATTAAGATCAAAATTAGGTAAGAGTTCTTCACCCAGAGGGTGATCAGGCATTGGGACAGGCTCCCCACAAGACTGCTCATGGTACCAAGTCCACTAGAGCTCAGAAAACATTTGGACAAGTTCCACAGGCACCTGGTGGGATTCTTGGGGACAGAGCTGCACTTGCATATCCTTGTGGATCCCTTCCAAGTCTGATTCTGATTCTCTGATTCTGTGACAAAGCCCAGTCCCTAACTGGTACAGCATGGAGCATGTTGCAAAGGCACCCTGTACCCTAGCAGCAACCAGACCTGTCTCACCTGAGTTTCTCTGTGCCAGCCTAAAGCCAAAGCAGCACCAAGTTCCACAATTGTCTCACTACTGCCAGTCCTCACACCCCAGTTACTGAATGCTAAATATTCCCTTAGGGTCTGTGTAGACCACCACCAAGAATCACACAAATCATCATTCACATGTGAAACAGAATGTCCCCAATGAGAAATGTGAAGTTTAGTTTTGTCTCTGCAAAAAGCCACCATGGTGCTAGTTTAAAATGCTCTGCAGTAGGCTAAGGCAGAGCAAGAGCTGCACTTGCAGTGGCAGGGAAGTCCCTGCAGGCAGGTGACTGCAGCCACAGCCAGGTGAGAGCCTGCTTTCCTCAGGGCAGCTGGCTGTACCTGGCTCAGCTCACTGCTGCAGGCAGCACCACTGAGTGCCTGTAAGGGGGATGTGCACCTCGAGTCTGCCTGGAACCAGACTCCTTGGGGAAACAGCATTGAGAACACATTAATAACAAATGACATCACCTAAGCACCTTGTGCTTTGTGGGAAATGATGGAATCCGTGGGGAAGATGACATCAATATCTTCCTTTCGATTGCCTTGAAAAGAACCCAACACTGTGTTGCGGCAACACTCACTTATTAACGACCAAGAGAAAAAATTAAATCAAGCAAAGTTTCCCAAGCTGACCTTATGAAATCCTCTATGCAACTTTCTCAAGGTTGCATAGGTTTTCCCAATTAAATTTAGAGGATAATGACAGTGCCTAGATACTCCAAAAGCAAAATCTTAGCTACCAAGGCAGTGAATTTAGGTGCATGGAGTAGTCCAAGTCCATCCCATCAACCAGTATGCAAACAAGGAAGGTCTAGCAGGTTTTCTCAGGGGAAAACAAACCAGTGGCTAAATGTAGTGGCAAGAGACTGCAAGGTTGACCTGAGGGCATACCACCTCCAGTCGAGATCTCTGAACACAAGAGATCCCCTGTCCCAAGAATATGCTGCAAAAATGAGTTACCAAGTTGAAAATCTTACCGACACTGAGCAAAATGTGAAAAACAATCATACCTCCAGCTGGGTTATACAAGTTGACATTCTGCGCACTTCCATTGTGCGATGCCTTGCTGGCATTTGGCTAAAAGGAAAAAGATATTTTCTGTAAAAACTTCAGCCTGCTCTCCATCACTGCTGATTAACTAGGCCCTTTGTTTTAAACAAGAGCTGTATTTGCAAAGGTTTGCTGTCACATCACTAGAAAGGGCTGCTTTGACACAGTTCTCCCTCTGCAAGCAGCCGGCTACAAAACTGCCCTGAGAGAGCAACCCTCACTTGGCCTCTAACGCAGCCAAGTGTTCAAGTAGCAAGTCATCCTTTCCCAGTTGCCGGAATTTATAGGCACAGGCTGCCCTTGAAATCAAGTACCTGAGTACAACTGAACTGGCCAGTGTCCAGCTAACAATCCAGGTGAGAGTGGTTCACAAAAATATAAGAATTTTGGACACGACCTGATGCTGGGATTTATTTGGTACTAAGGAAGCACATCTTAGAGTCAGCTCCAAGAAGAATTTCATCTGCATAAGGTGAATTTTGACTCTCAACAGGCATGAAAGCCCTTTCTCTTGTCCTCAGCTCTAGATGCAATTCTTTGAAGCTGTGAAATGGAAGCAGTTTATCCTAGGTTAATCAGATATAACAAAATTTGGGTTGCTTGTCTGATCTCATAATTAATACAGAATGCATCACATTCTGCGGGAGGTTAAAAATCACTGAAATGTTCATCAGTCTAAGTACATTTTTTAACAAAAACAACTACTGCCATCCACCTGCTTCATTCTGTAGGCAAAATTGTCTGAGATAAAAATCTAAAAAGCTATGATAAATGGACTGAAAGATGTGAATTAATTACCATGAGAAGGGAGACATCAATACCAAAGAGAAGATAGAATATTACTTAATTGAAGAAATTATGTAATTTAGAACCAATGAAGATTAATTGGTTTTTTGGGGTTTTTTGGGGGATTTTTTTGGGGTTTTTTTTGTTTGTTTGTTTGTTTTTTGTTTGTTTGGTTTTTTTTTTTGCTAAAAATGCTGAAATTTCTTTGTTTGGAAAAGCTTTGAAAACGGTGTGCATGTGGCTGGAGTTCTCCACTATCATCACAGCTGAGCATAAATACTAAATACTAATACTAAAAAATACTGTTAGAGAGTTTCCTTTATCCTGACATGTTCGGTGAGTGCAGTACAAACATGGAACAATGAGAAATCCATGCATTTTGACCAAGAGCCATGCCCAGAGCATGAATTTCCTGAGTGTCCCAGCACTGAGAACATCTGACTTTCACTGGAACCTCCTCAGTGCAATCCCTGAGAAACACATCCATCAGAGAACTTCCCACTTCCACTGGCACCTCTTCCGTGTCATCCCTGTGAGTGGCTTCCCCCCGGGCAGCTGCCTCAAAGGGGCCCTTGGAGCACCAGTGGGGCCCCAGCCCTGCCCAACAGGTCCCGTGGGGTCAGCAGCACCTGACACCAACACCATGGCCAAGCCCCCACCCGCTGGCAGCCCGCAGAGCCCGACACCTGCCCCTCACCTCTTGGTCCTGGGACCTCTGGGTCACCCTGACGGGCACGGCAGGGCTCTTGGGGGCCCTGCGGGACGCAGTGCAGACTGGGGCCCTGTGGAACGCTCTGGATCGTGCCCAGGCCCACAGCTCCGCCATCCTGCTCTGCCTCGGGTGCTCCGGCTCCCACACAGCCACTGGTCCTGCTGAAGAGTCTGCAAAATGCAAAATATTTGTCAGGAAAATGTGTTCTTTAAAGTTTGTCCTTGTTGATGGCTTTCAAGGCCCATCAACAAGAAGGGAGGTTATTCCCATGAAACAAGAAGTAGCCAACGAGTGATGGCCAGGCCTTTGAAAGGCAGGTTACTTCTTGGCTGGATTGCCTTGTTGGGGTGCAGGACTTGACAGGCTTCAGCTACCTCAGACACCGGGGAGGTTAGCAAGGCTTGGGAAGAAGGATGTACCACTGATGGTGGGCACAAAGAATGCAGATTTAGGGACACAAGGACATTTGGCAGAAGCCCCAAGGAAAGGAACAAACTGATAAAGCCAATGCAGAAACTGCGCTGAATCACCTCCTGTGAGGTAAAAGGTCATTCCAGCAGGGGCAGACCATGGCCATGCGCTCCAGAAGCCATTGACATAAAAGAAGGGAGAGACTGAGCATGCAGACTAATGAACATGAGAAGTGAGAGGATCATTACCCAACAGCAGACAGAATACTAATTATGAAGAGAACTAGGGAACTTGCAGTCAATGAACACTAATTCCTTTCTTTGCTAAAACGTAGAAATACTAAGACACTCTACTTCTTGGGGCGCTGGCTTTGTGAATTTGTCCCTGAGCCCCCCATTTCTGCACAGAACTGTAAATAATTACCTCCACTCAGTGTGTGGATCAGTCTCTTGACCAACGTGTGCTAGAACCAGCTAAACTGGAACAACACTCGCTCTCGCTCTGACACCTCCGCTCTCAACGCAGCGGCCGAAGGGTCTGAGCAGTCCTGCTCTGTGCTGGTGACAATGGCCACGTGTCCTTGGAAACGGGGAGTTCCATGTTCCAGGCTGGGCGGGATGTCACTGAGGAGCAGGACGCGACACAGTCGGGGCACAGGGAGTTCACAATGGGCACACGTGGGGAATGCCCTGCCTTATCCCATGACTGACTCAGCTCATTTCCAAGTGCAGAAAGGGGTGCTTTGGCCACCCCAGTTGCTGCAGTAGCTTTGCAAACCAGGGCTAATGAAGTGTTTCTGCACAAAAGTGCTGCATTTGGCTCTCTCTGAGGCAAAGGAGCAGCTTAACACCCCTAACCAGGTCAGCAAGGTGCAGCCCCCCAGCACTGGGCCATCCTGTCATGGGCCAGTCAGTCTGTGAGGCTTCCAGCACATACACAGTCACTCAAATATCATCTCTTTGACAAAACCCCTTGACCTTTCCTCATCCCAGTCTCCTAAAAGGAAGCAAGCCAGCAGCATGCCCAGGCCCCCATGTGCTGTGCAGGAGGAGCTGACATGGAAAGGCCCACGCTGGCCCTGAGCACAATTACAGGCTGATAATTTTGCTGACTGCAGCTGGCCATTGAAGTTACTGACACATGTAGATAAACATTTTATACTCAGTTTATGATGGTTTTATTGTCGTTTTCCCCCTACCCAAGATTATTCCTGATTTAAGACAGCTGGCACCAAAAATAAGTGTTGTCCAGTCATTACAGGGAGAGAGAATAAGAGCATGTAGTTGAGAATGTGTTGAATATTACCATCCAGAGCACATTTTCAATGACATCCTCTATTTGTTTTCAAGACTATGTCTATATCTACCCAGGTCTGATCTCCTGGCTGCCCCACTCACAAGGACAGTGCAGTTTGGGGAAAGAAAGGGAGGAAGCAATTTGTCAAACACCAGAGCCCACATCTGTGTCCCTTTTTGGGAATGACTGGATGGTGTTGATGATGGATCCCCAGTTATGAACTATTGCAAAAGCCTGTGTACGAATCATGAAAGGAATCCATGGAGGTGCTACACTGGACTCCAGAATGTCCAGCAGCCTTTCTATATATTTTAAAGGTTATTGATGACAACCCCTGCTCTGGAGTTACCAGATTTGACTGACCCCTTTGCACTGTTCATACATGAGTGCCCTTGCCTTGCACAGTAACTCCATTTTTAGCTCAAAGAATGGGAATGAAGGAAGTAACCCTGCGGTATTTTGAGCCTATTTCTCAAAAAACAACTAACCAATGTACTACAGGGATGGCCAATACACCTCAGAGCAGGAGCCACCATGGTCCTGATTGATGGAATATACTTGAAAATAAATGGTGAAAAAAGTGACAGCTGATGTGCTACACATGGTTATGTCTTGTGTAGAACAAAAAAAATGCCACTGGTTATCCCTGAGCAGAATCTGAAAGTAACAGGTGGTACTCCTGGAGCAAAAGACCTTGAGACCCAGGCCCCTCAAAAACTTTTTTTGTCCTTGCTGCACGTGTGCTTAGAGTGACATGTGGGTCACCTTCCTGCCAGTTCAGAATGTGCAGAACTGTACCTAAGTGCTACTTCTGTTCAAAGTTTTCTGGAGGCAAAAAGGGAGCTGGGACAGGGGCAGAACGGGGAATGTCCATAAGTAATAGGTTGTCCTGAAGTCCCTTTTGCCAGGCAGATGCCATGGGGGGCTCTCACCCAGAGGAAGAGCCAGGACCCGCAGGGCAGATCCGGCCAGGACAGGGGTAATTTTTGCAGCAGCCAGGAGGAGCACAGCCAGGACCTTGGGGTAACTGGCTATCACCTGCCACGTGGCAGGGGGAAATGGAAAGGGTTTGTTCTTCCTCCACCGGTGTGCCGTAAATCGTGGGGTGTTGCTATCGCGCTGGCGCGGTAGTGTGGAGAAAGGGTTTTAGAAAGGCCTTGGGAATGGGAAACTGAGGAAAAGATACATTTATGTATGCCCCATTGTTTCAGGAAAGTTTTGCTTCAGCATTTTGCTGTAAACCCCTTTTTCCCCACCCCTGAGCAGTTCCCATTGGACCTGACCCCTGGGGTGGTTCTGATGAGCCCATGCTGGACACTGTCTCTATTGGTTAGACCTTATCTCTTAATTTTGCTGTATAAAACTGTATCTGGGCAGTAGCCCAGGGTCTTTTGTCCCTGCAACCATTCAGGCAATACAATCTCTCTGGACTGCACACAACTGACCTCTCTTCATCTCTTTATCCCGAATCCTTGCGGCAACCGAGGCGCACCGCCGCTTGGCCCGTGCAAACCCAGCTGCTGCCTGGTGAGCCCAGTGCAGCGGGACAGTGGCAAACCCCGGTCCCCTGAGGGGACAGCGAGCCGGAGGGGTCCCAGGGGGCCGGGGAGGGATTGGGGACAGCCGCAAGTGACCCCCGGAAGCCGCAGTGGGGTGTGCCAAGTTCTGTATGGTGAACAATCACGTGTGATTCGTTCACCTCTTGTACACTCTCCTTTTAGTGTTGTTATTACCGTTTGTGGGATTTTTTCACTGCTGTTTCTAGTAAATTGTTCTTACCTCAACCTATGATCTTTACCTACTTGTGCTCTTCTCTCCTCCTGCCACAGGAAAAGTGGTGGGGAAGTCAGTGAGTGACACCTGGTCTGAGCTGTATCAGTGTGAGCACAAAACTGGGGAATACCATTCCTACACTGCAACAATGTAGAAAAATCAATTTCCTAAGTTACTTTCCTTGTTTAGTCCTACAGGAAAATTAGCCTGCTGAAAAGCAACTGCTGTCATTGAACTGAAAGCCTGCTAGGTAATGCCCGTTTTAAAGTACAGATTTAATAAAGTTACACAGAAAGCAAAAATTAAATATTGATAAATAGTCTTTATAATAACATTTAAAAAAATGTAAAATCGATGATGGGAGAAATTCCTGTGATCTTTTTCTGCTCCCACAGTGACAAAGAATTCTATAAAGCAAATTACAACTGAATATTTTCAGCCTCTAAAAATAAGTTAAGCAAAATAGTAGAAAGGGTTACACTGGAGTTGCATTTCCAAAGCAGATGGTTTACTTTAATGGTTAAGGCTAAAGAATGGGAAATGAGAGAATCTGTGTGTTGAAAAAAAACCACCCATAATGGAACTGTGCAAATGCACTCTGTTCCTCCCTGAAATGGAAAGTCTCATATTCAAAATATCATTGAAAGCTGAGGCCATGATTTCAAGAGATTGAATGGCAATCAGCTGTGTCATAAGTCATTAAAGAGAGCAGTACTGATCTGACTTCACAGGTGTCTGAATGAATGACAGAACAGAAAATCAATACATTCCTAATCATGTTTTCTTGGATAAGTCAGATTTTCCAGAGGATTCAGAAAACAGGTTTGGGCTTGGTTTTTCCTCCCTCTAAAAAATGGCCAAAAGAGTTCATGCTTTCGCTTAGTTCTGAAGGGTCACTTGGCTATGATCAAGGGAAAAGATAGTAGATTCCAAAAAGATGTCCTTGATTTTCAGACTTTTCACAGACAAAATACCATGAAAGAAAAACTTAAAATCAATTGAATTCAGACACCACTTTGCTCTCCATTAAACCACAAACCCACACTCTAACCTAACCCTAAGCCTAAACCCACACCCTAACCTAACCCTAAACCCACACTCTACCCTAACCCTTACCCTTCTCATTAATACCAACACAGAAACACCAACAGCCTTGGTTGGCAGAAAAAGGGAAACTGTGATTTCTCGACAACTCAGACAAGCCCTGGGCATGGCAGGGGCAGGGCAGAGCTGGCAATGGCAGGGCAGGGCCCGGGGGGCAGCGAGATGGGAGTGTGCAGCCTGCAGGGACACAGCAGCAGCTGTGGGACAGCGCAGGACAAGCTGTGCTGGACATGGCCAAGGGCCCTGGCAAGGCTGGCAGTGGCCAGGAGAAGCCAAGCCTTGGTGCCCTGGGACACAGCAGCGTCTTGCCACCAAGGGCTGTGAGGAGGAGACACCTTGTCCTGAGGCACTGGGGCCTCCTGGCACAGCCCCAGCCAGGCTGGGCACTGCCATCCCTTGTCCTGCCCTCAGCATCCCTCCCTATGCCAGTGCTCCCGGCAGAGCCCTGAGCAGGCGGGGAGGGACAGGATCTGCCTTCCCTGGGGCTGGGGCTCAGGCCTTGGCCTTTCTGCTGCCTCCAGCCAGCCCAGGCTCTGCTCAGCAGCTGAGCTGCCTACACAGAGCCTCTGCCTCCCTGCACTCCTGGCCTCAGGGAGCTGCTGGGAAGAGGCCCTGGGGAGCCTTGGTCAGGAATGGCCCTGGGCCCTCCTTCATGCCCCCAGGGATGGCAGGTTTTTCAAAGGACTTGGGCTTTTGCTTGGGGTCCTGAGAGGTTTGTGCAATCATGGCCTCCAATTATCTGCTGGAATTAGTCCCTGGAGATTCTTTGTCAGGAGGTTTCCTACAATACTGATGGAAAACTATTTGCAAGAGCTTCCAATAAATCCACGTTCCCCTTTGAAGAGTATATTTTATGACTGTTCTATTTAGAGCAGAGGTGACTGCAGCATTCAGCCACTGATATTGGCCCAGGGACTCTCCTGAGGATGTCTGGCCTAGTCAGAGAAGCTGTGCCTGGAGGTCTGAGGCAGTGTGGACAACCTTGCCCCACATAGCCCAAGCCCGTCCTGTCTCTGCTCAGTCACCTGGGACCTGCTGTGCTTGGAGAACTGGCTGCGCTCAGGCAAAGAGGGGTTTTCCTCTTTTATTTTTTGAAGCAATCTAAAACTCTTAAGCTTCCCCATTTAAAACAGACACACTCCTCAAGTGTGTGCCAAGCCCTAGGTACCTCCAAGG